TTTTAGTAGTAATTAGCTAATCCGAGGAAGCTCTAAACGTCCTTAACGTATATCGATATTAGCTATTTAAGAATACTCTTAACTTTATCTTATTCTATCCCTAACCTATCTAGGCTAATAGTATATCCGAGGAAACTCGTTTCCTAAATATAGAACTCGTATTTCTTAAGTTTAAGTGTAACTTTTACTTCCCTTAGCTTCTATAGTACTTTCTTATTATATTTAAGGTATTCTTCCTTAGTTTTAGAAAATACGAAAATATTATCTAGGTACGCGATAACGAACTCGTCGAGATATTCTTCTAATATAGTAAAGATAAAACGTTAAAATAATATAGGTACGTTAGTAAGTCCGAAGGGTATAATAGTATATTCGTAGTAACCGAACTTAGTCCTAAATACCGTTTTCTATTCGTCTCCTATTTTAATTTAGAGTCGGTTATATACGTTAGTAATATTATATTTACTAAAATATTTTACTCCTTAAATAATATCTTATATCTCGCTGATTAGTAGTAGCGGATATTAGTCTTTAATCGTAATATCGTTAAGTTATCGATAATTAACGTATATCCGAAGTTCCCCTTCTTTCTTAGGTATAAATAGGATTAGGTATCTTACCGACGATTTCGATTTTCTAATATTTCCTTTCTTAAGATTATCCCTAATATATTCTTATAGTATCGCTAACTCTTTCTGCGATAGTAGGTAAATTAGTATAAACCTTAGTTCCTCGCCTTCTTTAATTTTAATCTTATAGTCGAATAGACTATATTCTAGTAGCTTACTATCTAGTAGTAGCGTAAATATATCCTAGAATTTAATATATTCCTCGGGGATCTTATATTCTTCTTCTAGCGCTCCCGTAGCGTAAAGGGATATCTTTTTATTACTAATAAGGACGTATTCTTTAAGTTCCTCGTTAGTTATATCTAGTCGTTATTTAGTTATCGCGATATCCCTAATATCGGTTAATCTCTTATTAGGCCTACCTCCTAGCCGAAAACTCCTCTTAAGTTCTCCTTCGTAAAGGTTCTTATAAGTACCTACGTCCCTTTCGCTAGGTCTCTTTAGCGTTTTTCGTGTTTTATCTCCGGTCTATATCTCGCTAGTTTATCGATAGTCGTACCTATCGAAAAGTATATATCCTTATTACTAATTAATAGCTAGATTATACTTTCTTAGCTAGGGTACTCCGAGTACTATATCGTATTCTCTAAGGCTCGTAATATTAAAATTAATTACCTCGAAGTAGTCTCCGATGACTACTAGTAATAGTCTACTCTTATACGTGATCCCTAATCCTAGGCTCTCTCCGTTAAGTCTAATAATAGGTTAAGGCCGTAGCTTTTCTACGCCTTAGATCTTATAGCGGTATTTATACCGTAGGCTTATAAAGTTTCCTACTACTCCTGAATCGAGTATTACTTTAGTTAATCGAAACGTAATATTAGTAGTAATCTTTATATATATACCCTACGTAGTAGCTACGAGATATTATAGTTCGATATTTATCCTCCGGTCTCTATACTAGAGTCCCGTATATTCCGAGCTCTAATTTAGTTTCTTTTCTCGTCGTAGCGGCTTTAGTTCTAGGCTATTTTCGACTTTTCCCGCTATATATATCGTATACCCCTCGTCGTAGTATCCTATTATAGATCTAAGTTAGTAATTAGAGTATCGTACGTATCCTTAGTATATATAATAGTCTTACTAGTATAGATAAAGTCCGTCCTTAATCTTTATCTTTAACTAGTATAGTTCGTATAACTAATTAGTAATTTCGAGGGCTTTATTAATTATCTAGTTATCGTTTCTTTCTTTATTTTGAAATAAATCTTAGAGTTTATTCCGTAGTCGCTTAATATCCGCGATGATATTAGCTTTCTAGGGTTTTTCTTAAGGCTATTTAGTCGTATCCGTCCCTAGGAGCTAGGGTAGAGTCTCTAGAATCTCTAGGGTTCCTAGAATCTCGATTAGTATTTTTAGGATCCCTATACCCTACTCCTAGTACTTATCGGATAGTTCCTAGGAGTCGATAGTATTCCCGGGACTATACTAGGTCTACCCTTAACTCTCGATATTTTCCTAGTCTATCTTAGGGAAATTCTCCGTCGTGTACTCTACGCTATTTAGGCCGTAATATTTAATATCGTCCGTAAAGGTATCTATAGTTTTACCCTTCGTAGCGTTCCTTATAACCTCTACTCGGTCGTCGTAGGTATATTCGGCCTCTTCTAGGTTTAGTTCCTATTCTTTAGGCTCCTTAGTAGCTTATAGCTATTAGGGTCGGACCTCGCTATTCCGAGTCGCTCGTAGCTACTATAGCTTTATATTATTATATTCGTTATTACGCTTACGTACCTATAGCTTTACGTTATTACGCTTATTATACTTATACGCCCGATATCCTAGCTTTCTATATTCGAAGTATAGGTTATTATCCTTTCGCTGTTTTTCTTCTTCGGTCGGGAGTCTTACTACGTTAAGCTCTATTAGTTATAGTCCGTAGGGGTCGCTATATAACTCCCTCGGCTAGTTTCGTTATTATCCTCGCCTACCTTCGTAGCGGCGGTATTAGTATAGTACCGTACCTCGGTTATCTCCTAGTCGCTACTCCCGTCGCTAGAGTTTACGTTTATAAAGTCGATTATCGAATTTAACCGTAAGTTTAATTATTTTATAAAGTTCTTCTAGTCGGTTAATCCTTATAAGTTTATCCTTAACGTCTTCCTTAAGTCCTCGTTTAAAGAGCTAAATATAGGTATCGTTATCGAAGTTAAGGTACGAAATAATCTATTAGAATTCGGCGGCGTATATATTAGCTAATCTAGTCTATTATAGCCGATCTAGTTATCTCTCCGCTATTCTTACGGTATCGATATTACTAAAGGTTTATTCTAATTTTTTCTTAAAAGTTTTATAGGATACGAAGATTTCTTTAGTAACGTCTCCCTAATCCCCTAGGGGTTTATCGTTAAATTCCTAGATATAAGGCTTAAACTATTCGAATACCTATCCGTAGAGATAGGTAGAAGCGTAGATTACTCTATTAGCTTCTGCTATATAATTAATTAAGCGGAGCTATATATCTATTTAAGTTAAGAAAGAACGAAGCTTAGTTCGTTTACTATAGTAAAACTTAGACTTCGGTAGTTTAACCGTAGCCGGCGTACGGGTATTACTTACTTATACGAGCTATTCTTATAACTAGGATATTATTTCTATAAGTTATACGTTAGTAGGTATAGCGTTCGATCTACTCGAAACGTTACTTAAGGTACTGTTATTACCTACTATAATAACTATGCTCTATAGTTTAAAAATAGGGCGATTAATATATTACGCAGTACCGACTAGTTACTATAAGTTAGAACGTTCGGGTTATACTTACCTAGTTCTAACTACGGATTCTAAGAGTATCTCGTAACCGTACCGTTACTATACTTAGCCTTACGTCGGGTTCGGGTCCTATTAAGTATCTTATAGAACGTACTAGAGGTACGCGCTAAGTAGGTCAGTCACTAAGTATTACTACGAAGTAAGCTCCCCTACTTATAGGTTAGGTTATCTTAAAGGTAAACTATAAAGTAGAGTACTAAAGGTAGTAACTAAGTAATAATATATAATTAATCGCGAAGAACTAAATATATAATACGAAATAAGTGTCCTTATATATCTAGCCCTTCCTACTCCTAATCTACTCCCTAGGAGTATATCTAGAGTCGCCGTATACCCCGTTATCTACTCCTTGGAGTTACGCTGGGAGTATATCCTTGGTATTACGTGTTTTACCGGTACCTAACACTTAGGGCGTAATCTCGGTGCTGGTAAAATGATGGCCGTTTCCTGCGTTACGCTAACCGTCCCGTAGAGTAGACACGTACTGGTTGTAACGGTTAGTCGTATGCCGGTCCTGGCTCCCGCCCGGGATGTCCGTCTTGGAGCCCTGCTGGGGCATGCCCAAGTATACCGAAACGTACGTGATAACGCTAGTCTCTAGCGTCCGTAGAATGATTGGTCTACGGTTGCCCTCAAATAGCTGCGGCCCCCGCGCCTTCTTGAGGTTCGTAACAACTAAGTCTACGTACCTAAGAGTAAACCTCCGGAAGGATATTTTATTGCGGGGTAATCTAAAATAATTAGACTATTCTATCTATTTCTCTATCTTCCTATTATAGTTAGGAGGTATTATATATATACTAATATAATCACTCGTAGATCCTTACGTAGTAGTAAGGGGTTTCGGTTATCGCTACTTTTCTAAAGACCCCGAGGTCGCCGATATCGCCGACCGTAAGCTATCGCTCGTTAGGTCTTAATACTATACTACTACGCTAGAATAGATAGAAGAAAGGTTCTTAGAGCTCCTAATTAACCTGATTTTTCCCCTACTCTCTCCGTTATATAGAGATCGCTTTAGGAGGACCTCCTAATAGTTAAGATTTACTATACAGTTAGGCCCTCCCGTAAGCGGCCGTAGAAGGCTACTTAGTTTCAGAGGTTTGCTACTATATAAGATAACGGGAGTGTAAGAGTATATTCTATTATTATCGTAAGCGAATATATCTATAAGGATATAAGTGCGGTCAAACATAGCAGAAAGTACCCGTAAGGGGCCGAACATGTAAGGTTAAAGGAAGGTAAAGTACGCCTAGGATCACAATATCTTAGTTTAATCTACGCACGATAGAGAGATCGGACTAAATTATCTTATTATAGGGTAAATCGGCGTATAATTAGATGCCCTATCATATTTAGATCAGCAAGATAATTATACATACTATTTTTAACCTTTAGTAGCCAATTAGAATCTTTCTTTCGGCTTCCATATACTAAAAACGGACAAGCTTGCCGCCGAGTGCTTGTTTTCCGTCGTTTCATCCCATCTTATACGTTGATTCGGTCTGAATATATCCCTGACATATCACAATACAGATAGACTGCCCGATCTACGGTTGAACTCTTGATAGTAGGGGTATATCCCTACGATATACTAAATTAGCGTACAAAATCGACCAATAGATCGCGAGATGCGAAGGTTTGCTCTGGCGGGGGTAGAAGATCAGATAGTTGACTACCTTGATTAGTAGTAGGTTCGTCGATAATCAGATCGGTAGTAGGGTTATCGATAATCAGATCAGTGGTAGCAGTAGTAGGGTTATCGATAATCAGATCGATAGTAGGGCTATCGATAATCGGATCGATAGTAGGGTTGGTAGTAGACATAGTGGTTTATATAGCTGTTTGATTGGTTATTTGATTGGTTTGGTTGGTTTGTATGGTAAAAACTGAACAGGATAGCTATAGAGAAGAGAGAAAGAGAGAGAGAGAGAAAGAGAGATATTATAAACATTAGTGGTTGCTATAGCGATATCAGATAGATCAGGTGATTTGATTATGTAAAAGCTCCTGATACTGATTACATAATAAAATGTTGTGCCCCGAACAGAAATTCTGTTGTGTCCCGATCAATTCCCGTAACTACTAGGGTATTATATAATACGTCGGGTTACCTACGGATAGGTACCCTAGGTAGTTTAGTAGGGTACTTTTACACTACAGTTTAACTACAGTTTAGCCGCGACCGGCCACTTTTCTTTTATCTACGTATATATTTATGTGTACTAGTACACTTTCGGGTCCGACAAGGACTGATTTTACACGGTAGACTCGGGTCGAGTCTTATTAAGTAGGGGAGGATGTGATCCTAGGCGTACTTTACCTTCCTTTAACCTTATATATTCGGCCCCTTACGGGTACTTTCTGCCATATTTAACCGTACTTATGTCCTTATAGATATATTCACTTACGATAATAACAGAACATGCTCTTACACTCCCGTTATCTCAATAGCTAGTAATTATTATAGCTTCCGGTAGCCTAGTTAGATACTACCGAAATTTATCTTACGGCCCCTAAAAGACCTAAACCCTTACTATCTTACGTTAAAGTATCCTAATAAGGGTAGTCTAAGCAAGCAGTAAGGCTGCGTAGGAAGTTATATTGGGATAGTTAATATAGGTAGGTGTGATATAATAAAGATACTTAGAAGGGGAAGAAAAGATGTGAAGGAAGCTTAGTTCAATTATTATTTGGCTAGGGATTTGATGGATATTTATATCTGATTCTGGTTGCCACTGGTTGTCACCAGTTGCATAGTATTGGTTGCTATTGTATGGTTATGATATAGCTTATGATATCGTTATGATATAGGTGGCTGCTATGTAGTAGCTTATGATATCGTTATGATGTAGGTAGCTGCTATGTAGTAGCAGGAGGTAAATTCATGATAAGATTTCTGGCCGAGATATCTAGCCGTTTTGACCACATCAAATATATCTTATAGGTAGGCCCTTGTAGGCCCTATATCTTAGAATAGGAAATATTATTTTAAGATATTAAGATAGATATAGAATTCTTTTAGATTTTTATTAAAATATTAGTAAATCTATTCTATCTAGATTATTATTTCTACCTTAAGACTAATAATATTCTAAATAAAGATTAAGATCTATATTTTAAAATAAAACTAGTTTTTTTTAGAGTTCTAGTTAGTATTTAGTAATCTTTTCTTTATATATCTATACTATTATTACGCGGTGCCGACCGGTCACTGTGAGTTAGAGCGTCCGGGTGATACTTGCCTGGTTCTAACTGCGGATTCTAAGAGTATCTCGTAACTGTACCGTTACTATGCTTAGCCTTACGTCGGGTTCGGGTCTTGTTGAGTATCTTGTAGAACGTACTAGAGGTACGCACTAAGTAGGTCAGTCACTAAGTGTTGCTATAAAGTGAGCTCCCCTACTTGTAGGTTGGGTTGTCTTAAAGGTGAACTGTAAAGTAGAGTACTAAAGGTAGTAACTAAGTAATAATGTGTAATTGATCGCGAAGAACTAAATATATAATACTAAATAAGTGTCCTTATATATCTAGTCCTTCGTAATAGTATAAGTAGTAGATAGTAGAGTAGTAGATGAGTCTTAGTACGATCTACCCGTATACTAATCTACCCTTCTACTACTAGAGATTACGTATAGTTTTACTAGTATCTAGTACTTAGGGCGTAATCTAAGTGCGGGTAAAATAGTAGCCGTTTCCTATATTACACTAACTACCTAATTATATAAGTAGGTATTATCCGTAGTGGTTAGCTATAGGCCGTTTCTAGTTCTCTTTCCGGAATATCTTAGGGCCTTCCGGGGTATACCTAAGTATACCGAAATATATATAATAATATTACTCCTTAGCGTCCGTAGACGATTAGTTTACGGTTACTCCTTAAATAACTACGGTCCCTACGTCTCTTAAGGTCCGTAATATTATCCCCTCCTTTCTAGTCCTTTATCCTTAAAGGATTTCCTTTTAAATGTTAGTGCCCTCTTAGATAGATATAGTGTTTTTCTATTTTTTCTTCCTACCCTATTATATCTATTTATTATACCTAAACGTAAGGCTAACTCTGTTCTTAAAGGTATTCCTAAACTTCCTATCCTACGTAATTAGGTTACTAGTCGTATTTATTAAGCTAAATATATTATTATAAATAGCTTTATCGTATCTATTCCTTACGATTATTATTAGGAATCTAGTAAAAAGTATATAATAGATCAGAGTTATCGATATTCTAAATATACCTTCTATACTCGTACTAGTCGGATATATAAGCGAGAGTTTTATACTAGTCGGGAATAGGATTTATTACGTTACGCTAAAGATAAACTTTCCTCCGATATCGAAAAAAATAAAAGTAAACTCGATTTATTAGAACCTAAGTTAAGCGATTTACAGTCTCGTCTCGTAGAGCTATATTAATAATTATTAAATAAATAAAAATAGTATTAGGAAGCTATATCTCGATAGTATCGTCTACGAAAGTAAATAGCCTTCCTTAAGTAAAAGGGTTTTAAAATATTAGAATATAATACTAAATTATTAAGAATTCTTAATAAAAAGACGTCGTCCCTAGAGTAGGCTACTCCCTCTACCCTTAAAGTTTAGTAGTTAGCGTCTACTGCTAAGAATCCGAACTTTAATTAGATATTTTAGGAGATTACTTAGTTACCTTTATCCTTCTAGGATAGTTTAGATATTTCTAGGCTAGGTAGTTCCCCCTTCGCTAATAGAACTATTAAACTAGCTAGTAGTAGCCTATTAGGTTCTCGATAGGTTCCTATATATTTTCTAAGGTATTATATCTTTACTATTTTACGAGGTAATAAGGTTTCCCGTTAACTTTATCTATCGCTAGGATTTCCTCGACCTTATATTCGTTCTCCGTTTCTTCCTCGATTTCTACCTTAGTAGCGATTTTAGCGTTTCTAGGTACTTTTTCTAATAATAAGATATAAAATATTATATAGATACGTCGTATACTATTCGGTAGTTTTAGACGATAATTAAGTAGTCCTATTTTTTCTATAATTTTAAATAGTCCTAGTTTAAGGTAATCGAGTTTCGTACTAGGTCGTCTAGTATAAATATTACATCGTAGGAGGTAAACTTTCTCCCCCTCTTAGAAGTCCGGTGCCTCCTAGCGTAACTAGTCGTAGTAGAACTTTATACGTATATTAAGAAACTCGATATCTCTAGATAGTTAAAAATATAATTATTTTATCCCTATCGCTAGTAGTCGTAATAATTCCGTAATTAGTCGTTTACTAATAGGTTCTCCGATAATTATAGGATTAAGCCTATAATTTACGAAGAATAGTATTTCTTTAGTCGTCGAGTATATAGTATTATTATATATAAATTATACTATTAGTAATAATCCTATCTAATTATTTTATTAGTAGTTTATATAATAACGTAGGTATTATTCTAGGGTCTAGTTAACTTATTCTATTTATCTATTAGTTTAAGGATAGTATACGGTAGAGAGTCTATACTTAATACCGATCTAATCCGTAAGTAATTACTATATATTAGATATAAAGAGTTTATCTCTATCCGAGGTAATCTTACTCGGTATTCTATAGTTAGCGAATATATATCTAAGTAGTAGATTAGCTATTATCTATACGTTAATAGTTTCGGTTATCGGGATTATATATACGTATTTAGTTAGTCGATCTACGACTACTATAATTATATCGTTTCCTTCTAAGATAGGTAATTTCGTAATAAAATCTATAGTAATCTACTCCTATAGTTAGGTCGGTATTTCTGCTACCTATAGCTCTCTATATAGTATATATCGAGTCGACTTATTTCGTTAATATAAATCGTATTACTAGATATATTTTTTAACTTTTCTATATATCGCTAGGATATAGTAGTTCTGTGTAATTTTCTCGATTATTTTTTCGATTTCTAAATATCCTTATATTAGTTCGTCGTAGTATAATTAGATAATCTTAGTTTATAAGTTTCTAGGAACGTATACTAAGCTATAAATATAGATTAAGCTATTTCTAGTTAGCGTAGTATTATTACCTAAAATCTTTTATATTAATTCGTCGTTAGTTATAGCTTCTCGAATCTTCTATAGCTATTTATTATCTTATACTTCGCTAGTTACTACGAGGATTTAGTAGTTATAGATAATATATCCCTCGTCGTTCGTAGTTAGGATAGTAGGTACTACTTCTTTAGTCCTAAGTTCGTAGTCGGGTTATCGACTTAGTACGTCTACGACTATATTTTTAGTTCCTTTATAGTATACTATCTTAAAGTTATACTAGGCTAGGGTTTCTATCTATCTAGCTTATCGCTATATAAGTTTTTTCGTTATTATAAAGTATATAAGGTTATAGTAATCTATCTATACGATTACGGTATATTTCGCTCCTTCTAGGTACGCTCTCTAGGTTTAGAATACTAATACTATAGCTAATAATTCCTTATTATAGATATTATAATTAAGCTCTGCTAGGATTATTTTCTGAGACTAAAAGATAATAGGTCTAAGCTTACCGTTTTCTCCTAGTTATATAAGTTATATACTAAGTACGAAGTCTAATATATTAGTTTCTATAATAATTAGTACGTCGTAGTTAAAGATTATAAGAATTATCTCTCTTATTTTCTTATTATATATTTCTTTAAGTTCTATAAACGACTTTTCCGCTTCGTCGTCCTATTTAAATAGTACCCCCTTTTTAGTGAATCGGTAGAGTCCGGCCGTATATTATAAGTATTTCGGAACGAGCTTTCGGTAGTAATTAGCTAATCCGAGGAAGCTCTAAACGTCCTTAACGTATATCGGAGTTAGCTATTTAAGAATA